TAATGAATTTTCCTTTAATTATAATGCTTATTGCGCTATTTTTATATCGTCGTCCTCCCGCAGCTGTAGCTTTTTATTTTATTGTTTGGTTTTCTTACTTCATCTTACTCTCTTCTCCCAACCCATCTTGCGAGCTGGTCGAAGTCGAGCAATAGTTTCGACAGCTTTATAGCTGTTGAACTGAATTTTTCGAGTCGTCTTCTCCCAACCCATCTTGCGAGCTGGTCGAAGTCGAGCAATAGTTTTGGACAGCTTTATAGCTGTTGGACTGAATTTTTCGAGTCGTCTTCTCCCAACCCATCTTGCGAGCTGGTCGAAGTCGAGCAATAGTTTCGACAGCTTTATAGCTGTTGAACTGAATTTTTCGAGTCGTCTTCTCCCAACCCATCTTGCGAGCTGGTCGAAGTCGAGCAATAGTTTCAACAGCTTTATAGCTGTTGAACTAAATTTTTTGAGTCGTCTTCTCCCAACCCATCTTGCGAGCTGGTCGAAGTCGAGCAGTAGTTTCGACAGCTTTATAGTTGTTGGACTGAATTTTTCGAGTCGTCTTCTCCCAACCCATCTTACGAGCTGGTCGAATTCGAGCAATAGTTTCGACAGCTTTATAGCTGTTGAACTGAATTTTTCGAGTCGTCTTATCCCAACCCATCTTGCGAGCTGGTCGAAGTCGAGCAATAGTTTCGACAGCTTTATAGCTGTTGAACTGAATTTTTCGAGTCGTCTTCTCCCAACCGATCTTGCGAGCTGGTCGAAGTCGAGCAGTAGTTTCGACAGCTTTATAGTTGTTGGACTGAATTGTTTGAGTTGTCTTCTCCCAACCCATTTTGCGAGCTGGTCGAAGTCGAGTAACAGCTTCGATAGCTTCGTAGCTGTTGAACTTAAGTTTTTTCGAGTCGTCTTCTCCCAACCCATTTTGCGAGCTGGTCGAAGTCGAGCAACAGTTTTGACAGCTTCGTAGCTGTTGAACTAAGTTTTTCGAGTCGTCTTCTCCCAACCCATTTTGTGAGCTGGTCGAAGTCGAGCAATAGTTTCGACAGCTTTATAGCTGTTGAACTGAATTTTTCGAGTCGTCTTCTCCCAACCAATCTTGCAAGCTGGTCGAAGTCGAGAAATAGTTTCGACAGCTTTATAGCTGTTGAACTGAATTTTTTGAGTCGTCTTCTCCCAACCTATCTTGCGAGCTGGTCGAAGTCGAGCAGTAGTTTCGACAGCTTTATAGCTGTTGGACTGAATTTTTCGAGTCGTCTTCTCCCAACCGATTTTGTGAGCTGGTCGAAGTCGAGTAACAGTTTCGACAGCTTCGTAGCTGTTGAACTTCAGTTTTTTCGAGTCGTCTTCTCCCAACCCATTTTGCGAGTTGGTCGAAGTCGAGCAACAGTTTCGACAGCTTCGTAGCTGTTGAACTAAGTTTTTCGAGTCGTCTTCTCCCAACCCATTTTGCGAGCTGGTCGAAGTCGGGCTGGATTGGACCGGCTATATAGCCGTTTCAAAAAATTCGATATTCTGGCGATTGTGTCGAAATTGATGCGAAAAAGGGGCGATTGTCACTTTTTCTCGACTTTAAGATACCCGACTTCCTTGGTTACTTATCATGTCTTGCTACCCTGGTCGAATATTTTCATTAATGATTATTCTTCCAGATGAGCCTGACCTTGACAATTCTCTTTTGAATTTCGAATTTCAAAAAACCCCTACTAGTGACGCGCGTCCCATCAATTACTGACTCTTCGTATTCTGTGCTTCATCAGGGTCGTTGGTTTTCTTGTTGATCTAATGGTCAACATCCATCCTCATCTCCTATAAATGCAATTGAATTTCTTCCTTAAACACTTTTCACTTCTTCCAAATTTTCTTTGCAACTTCCGGCGATCAAGCGATCCGATCTTTTTATCTCTGGTGATTTTGTTCACAGTTCCTGCATCCTTTCAGATCGTCATGAGTAATATGTGTAAGTGCTCTACTTTCTCTACTATATTCTTCCTTTTATTTTCTGGTTTTCGGGTTTTTCTGGGCCCCTGTGTTCTTCGTGTTCTTCAACTTTTTTCTTGAAGGTTCTATGTTAGATCTTCATATGCATACTCTCCTTTTAGGTTAACTGTTAGCGTGTGGCTGGGTTGCAGTGTGTAACCTTTTGTCGACTTTTATTGTGTCAATTCTTATCGACACACGTTTTCTTTCTTTATACACTTTCCTTGGGTTGGCTTTATGTCGATTCACCACCCTGTTTCCATCGAATCACACCATATTATTCTTCTTCTTTCATATTTTTGTTGACTTAGATAAGTCGACTGTGCTTTGTTTAATTTTGTCTCGTCATGCCTGATCTTTGCTTTTGTTTCTTTTCCTTCTATCTCTCCACTCCGGCTCATCTTCTGATACGCTCGACAGACTGATTGATAGGGGCCTCGACCAATCTGATTCGGGTTCAGTTGAGATAACTGGTTATAGGACGGTCCATGTCTCTCCTCCTTCCTCCTCATCGCGTGCTTCTACCCCCAAAGTCGACTGGGCTGAATATGATCAGCCCTTGTTGGATGATGGTCTTGTAGAAATAATGAGGAGTCTCCGGGAAGGCTCTCCTCGCCTCGACTTATTTCCTCGAGGTATTCCTATTAGTTTGTTAGATATTCCCGTGTATAGTACCAGTCCTGTACCTGTATCTTTAGTTACTCCCCTCGACCCTCGAAAGATTGTTTCAGTAGCCTGTACTTTGGCCAAATTGGCCACTTTGAACCCTTTTTCCTATGCCTCTGCGGGTCAAGTCGAGAGCTTCAGGCAGTTTAGTGGGCTTCCCTCCCATTGGGACTTGATTACTCCGGGTCCTGACAGCGACTTCGCCTGTCCTCCCGAGGGTTGCCATACTTTCTTTATTGACCAAGTCATTTTTGGCCTACGCTTCCCTATCCAAGCCGAGCTTTTGGAGATAAACGACTTGTATAAAATCCCAATAAATCAGTTTTCTCCAAATGCTCTTTGTATCATGATAGCTTTTATCGTTGTTTCTCGTATAGTTCTTCGTTTTTTCTCGGCCGAATTTTTTCATTACTGTTATAGTTATCGACTTCAAAAGGGGGCCCACTGCTTGATCCGTCGTCCCGGTGTTACCTTTCTTGATGACCTTTCTTTGAATATCCCGGAGTGGAAATCTAAATTTGTTTTCATTCGACCTCCCGTCGGTGCTTATCCTTATACAAATAATTGGATAAGTACTAAGGTCAAACAGAATAAACGGTCTCGATCCGAGGACCTCGAAAGACTTTTAGATGAGTTGAATAGGTGTACTTATAGTGCTCGACGCATAATAAAGGACCGTGAGTTGGTTAATCACGCCCGAATCGTTCTGTATGACGATATCTCTCGCCTTGATGATCCCCGTAAGCTGCTTAGTATTCCTTATAATGTCGAGTCTTATTTCCTATTTTTTAACCTTCGCCCCT